TCAGACAAGCTGTTATGGCTGCCGAAATGGGGAGCTGGTCCCTTCATAACTAATATTTTTCAAGTTAAATTGTTTTCATATAATATATCTTGGTCATTTTTACTTCCCCCAATTCTTCCCAGATGCTCTGCACTTCACTACACACCCAACTTTATGTTTTCTCTCTTTCATAAAACAAAGCAAACAAAAGAACCCCCAAAGCAAAAACCACACTCACAATCAAAACAAAACAAGCAAAAAAAAAAAAAATGGAAAAAAATTTCCCCCCAAAAAAGGAAAGAAAACATTGAGTTTGTTTTGTATTGGCCACCTACTCCTGGGCATGGGTGCTGCCCTGAAGTGTGATTGATTATACAGTGAGACTTCATTGGAGAAAACTGATTTGCCCTTTCCTAGCAGCTATCACTTGAAAATAACTTCTTGGTTAAGAGTGTGTCTTAGGGTTTCTGTTGCTGTGAGGAAATACCATGACCATGACATCTTTTATAAAAGGAAGCATTTAATTTGGGCTGGTTTACAGTTTTAGGGGTTTAGGCCATTATCATCATGGTGCCATGCAGGCAGACGTGGTGCTGAAGAAGGAACTGAGAGTTCTACATCTGGATCCACAGGTGGGAAAAACAACTGTGTTCTGGGCATAGCTTGAGCATATATGAGACCTCAAAGCCTGCCCTCCACAGTGACACACTTCTAACAAGGCCACACCTCCCAATAATACCACTCCCTATGGGCCAAGCATAGGGGCCATTCCTATCCACACCACCACATTCCACTCCCTGGCCCCATAGACTTGTGGCTATAACATAATGCAAAATGCATTTAGTTCAACTTTAAAAGTCCCCATAGTCTATCACAGTCTCAACAATGTTTAAAAATCCAAAGTTTCTTCTGAGAATCGTGTAATCTCTTAACTGTAATCCTCTATTTAAAAAAACACAAAACAAACAAAAAAACAGATCACATACCTCCAACATATAATGGTGCACTATATTCATTACCATTCCTGCCGGAGCCCGGCTTGTATCAGTCCCACATTACAGAGGCTATCTATTTTGGACTGATGTCTTTGGGGCTGAGATCGGAGCAAGCTGAATGGCCCTGGGTCCATCCCTGAGTCAGGAAGTGCTGGACTGGGAAACTCCTAGCTACCCAACAGCAACAAAGATGAGACACAGATATCTTGTCATTTCAAGAGGGCTCTCAGTCCATGCTGGAGTCTGGAGTCCAGACTCCTCTCCTCTTAAATAGCTTTCCAACAGTTGGGGTGACCACAGAAGACGTCTATTATCTTGTGTAAAGCTGATATCAACTATATCCTTTAATCCTAGAGACACTCCTAAACAGTCCCTAGGCAAGTACACAAGCCCTCAGAATAGGTGCGGACACACCTAGGGCCTAGGTCTGTTGTTATGCAAACTAGAAGACATTCTCCACTGAGGCTGGCATCTTAAAGACAATGGGAGATGCAGGCTCCTGGAATTGAACTGAGGTTTGGACCCCAAAATATTATAATTGATATTTTTTGGGCCCTGACACATTCCAAAACAGAGAAAAGGGAGCATAGTGAGGAAATACTGAACCAAAGCAAGACTGAAAACCAACTGAGCAAATTCCAAACTCTACAGCTCTATGTCCAGTTATCTCTGTCACTTATATAGTTTTTACTTTAATCATAAGATAATCATATAAACTAGACATTATTATTACTTTGGACGATAAGGGAGGATGATTACTTAAATGTTTAAGATGTTCTTGAGATAGTGATATTGATGCTGGAGTTGTTTGGGACAGATCCTGGGCCCTGGCAGCCCTAACAAGCTGGGTTTGGACATTTGTCCTCAATCAGTTAAAGAAATAGATGATAATGAAATCTGAAAAGTGGGATTTATTCAATACAGCAACATTCAAAAGAGGAACAAAGAAAGACAGCCAGTGGCCCTCAAAGCCCATCAATAAATATGACATTGAGGTTTAAATAAAAGGAAATAGGTATTCATAACTAAGAATCCTAGTGAAGGCATGACCCTGGCCACTTTTGACCCACTGTCTAGGCTGTCATCTGTCCTGCAAAAGACAAGTTGATAGTCTCTTTTTTAGAGACAGGCTTCTTTTCTAGCTGGCATCACTTTTTCCTTCTCTCAACCTGACTGAGGAAATTCCTTGGGAAAGTCGTCTCCATAGTCTGATAACCAAAGAGAAGACAAAGTT